ATTATGACGCGGGGCAGTGAAAACTGCAGGGAAGCTGTCTCGTCGATGCCGCCTTATATTCGCACAATAGCCAGCTGTTTGTGACGGCACGTTGCTAACACAAAGTGTAGACGCCTTGACCCTGAATGTTTGCATAGGACATTAAGGTTTTCAGTTAAGTCCCTCTTCTCTTCCTCTTATTATTCTTTATTCATGGTTGTATGACAGCGAAGCCTCAGTTCAAATGACTGGTACTGCTGTTGTCGATGACATTCACCAAGGTTCCCGGTCGATTTGAAGACACCTTGTGAGACATCGTGTCATAGTTACGAAAACGCTGTAAGTCTGCCCATCGGAAGCTGTTTGCGTGCTCCGATCAAGCTGATCGACGCCTCAATGATCCATTCACAGTTACGTCTCAAGTTGGGTGCACAACAGGCTTTAAAGGCACTCTTCATGGCACATTTGAGACTATCCCAGTCAGCGTTCGGCTCACCAACCTCATTCATCTCTGACATTTCGTGGGCCAGTTCATGATATTGTTGTACTGCAGACTGAGTCCAAGTAACAGGCTATAAGCTAGGCGCTTCTTTGAAGCGGGAAGAGTGAGCGCTAAGCGTGCGCGCACTAGAGCATGGTCGGAATTAACGCACATGCTCTAAATTGACCGATAGTATTGAACTGATGTGTGCCATCTGGAGCTGGTGGTAATATGGTCAATTTGGACCAAAGTCCCTGAGGAATTCGGTGGGCATCAGGTGACACGGTGGGAACGTTTGTGCTGGGAAGCAGTGCTGCTAAGATAATGGCTGTGGTCGGCGCAGTTGCAGCAATCGATCACCAATGCCAGTTCGGCGTGCGTCGACTCCGAAGTGGCCTACCAAGGTGCTCATAAGCTGAAAGATGATCCACTTGTCACCAGCAACAATCAAGATGTAAGCATTCTTCGTCATGCGAAGAGACGAAAGTTGTTGATAGAAATCATCTTTGATACCTCTGGACTGCATTCAGTATGGGCAAAAACTGAGGCGATGAGAATACACCGCGTCTTCAGACACTGCCTATTAACTCCGACATAGGTTCGCAGTCGAAACGCGTATATGTGGCTTTTCACCGGTATCCGGTCGAGCAATGCCAGCAGCATGTTAGCTGAGGGCAAAACCAACACCGTAAATATCTTGAGCTATTGATACAGTATCGCCAGAGACGTACAGAGTAGTCATCGTCGTCAGATTCCGAACAAGGGAGTCGAAGATTTGTCACGATGCTGCGTATTCCGGAAACAGCACGCACCAATACCAAGTCAGTGAAGAGTGAATCAGTGCTGCCTGCGGGCCGATCTGGCTCGAAGTGCCGACGTTAAAAAAAACAGTGTGAAATGAAACTCCAAGTTTGATAGAAGAGCCACACGCATCGATGGAAGCAGTTGCGAGGTAGGCGACAGTCTCTTACTCAATAGACGGCGGAGAAGAAATGGGAGAGAAAAACAAGAAGAGTATTGTCGACGCGGCCGAGAGAGCAGATGATACCCTAAGGATGCCTATTCCAAGAGAGGGGTTTTGTTCGAAGTCCCCTGCTCTTAGCCTTTGACTCAACGGTCTGGCCTGCAAGGTAGTGGGACATATGGTTCACTTGGGAAACTCCACCCGGAGTCTGGCTCAACAGCCTGACCCACAAGGCAGTGGAGTAAATGGAGGTTCGCTTGAGGGACTTCACCCGGAACCTCTGGCTCAATAGCCTGACCCACAAGTGGGGAGTAAGTCCAGCTCGGAAGTGTGAATGCAGTGACCCATAGGGATATGCTTCAAGCCTGTCACACGGGGAGAAAAATGAAGTTGCAACGTGATGATGAAAAATCGTAAGGGGAAGACGGGCAGTCTTGAGCAGTGGCATACTCACGCCTATCCATTATGCTCGGCGCAACAGATAAGGTGCTATTAATTATTCCTTGCGACGTTTAAAGCATCGAGAAATTGTGTGAGTAGATTATTATCGTACTGCTTGGGAATGTCGCTTAGACAGGATAACGGTCAGAGCTATTAACCAAGGCCTTTGGTCCAAAAACCAGAATGTAAGGGAGTTTGGCAGTGTGATACAGGGATCCTCTCAACCTGGAGGTGTCAGCATTACCGATGCTGTGCTACCGAAAGCGCCACGTCGCGCGTGGACAAAGAATACAGTGAGGGTCGTCTGGTCCTCTATGCAGGCTCGAATTCGCGTCTGCGGATTACAAAGCAGGTTTGTGATCCTTTAGGCTACAGGCCGGCTCCCAACCTGGAGAATGAGTCTGTCTGGTTTCCAACCGTTGAGCAATCGGGTACAAGCAAGTCTAAAAGTGCAAGAAGCAACAATCAATAGATTACGAAGGCATGTAAACCATCGCACTACGATATGGCTGTCTCGTTGAGATGTCTCGATCAAACTAATTGGCGCCTCGAAACCCACTCATAGGTCGCCTCAAGTGGAGCGTACAACCGGTTTGAAGGACATTCTTCATGGTATACTTGGGGCGATTCAGGTCAGCACTCGGCTGACCAACTGGTGGGCTAGTTCGTCGTAATACTGCTGAATTCAGAAGTCGGGTGCATCTCAGGAGCGGGAAGAGTGAGTGCATTAGATCGTGGTGGGAATAAAATTGGCCGTCAGTCTTGGGCCGATGCGCACCAGTGCATAATTAGTTTGGGTCCAGGTCATCGTGGGATGCGGTGGGCGCCAGAAAACAAGGTATACGGTTGTGCTGGAAAGCAGCGCTACTGGTGTGAAGATTTCGATCAGCACATGATCGCAGAAAGCGATCGTCCTGCGTTTGGTGTGCTTCAATTCCACAAGTACTTAGTGGTCCAAAAGCTTAGTGGGATAGCGGACCATGATCGAAAAACTGGAAACACTAAATGCACTCCATTCTGGTTTTTTAGTGACTCAGGTAACTCGTCCTAATGAGTGGCAGAAATAACCGATGTGTCGCGAGAAGATATCGTTGATACTATAAACCGAAATGTTGGCAGCTTCATCCAAATTATTTGACATGGCATTTTGCTGTAGAGGAAAGTTGCGGAACGCGGCAGCCGCGCCAGGAACTGGATGCCACACTTGGGACAATGCTGGAAATTCGCTTTGGCATGATCCGCCGAACGTGAATATACTGAGCTTAGATTTTTTGGACTAGAAGTTGACTATTTGAATTCGCAAGTGTTTTTTATACCATGAGCCATTGCTGGTCAGAATTCAGCTAGGGATATTTCTTTGGAGGGTCAAAAAGTCAGCAAAACTGATTGGAAGAGCTATCCATCGTATGATGCTTGCTGCCAGAAAAGCATGGGTTAAAGCAACGGACGAGAGGAAACACCTTGATGTAGTCTTCATTGACTTCAGCAAGGCATTTGACAAAGTGCCACATAAACGGCTTTTGCTCAAAGTTCAGGGAGTTGGTGTCCCCAGAAACCTCCTGTTCTGGATTTCAGACGTCCTAGAAGCACGACCTATTCAAGTGAAAGTGAACCAAGCACTCCGTCCCTGTGCTCATGATCAGTGGGGTCCCCAAGGGTCCGTCCTTGGACCAGAGCTCTTGAAACTGTGCATCCAAGAGCTTCCAGCGACAGTTCAAAGCGCTGCTTAGTCTACGCTGAAGATGTCAAACAGCGGTCTGAAATATTTTACCCCGAGGATGATGAAAGACTCCAAGCTTCGCCTGACCAGCTGCACAACTGATCCGTTGAGTGGTGTCTCCAAATAAACCGTGACGTGCCGATCTCCCGATTGGTGGCCCGGATCCTTTCGGTGCGTATCATATTGGAGGATATCTACTCGAGTCTGTCAGACATGAGAAGGACCTGGGAGTCATCGTTTTGTAGGATCTCAAGGCATCACTTGACATGCACGTAGCGGCATCCAACCGAATGCTCTGGGGTTTGTGAAGATCACTCCGTAAAATTACGCCGAAGATTTTGCTGTTTGCTTCGCATGTCTGTTCGATCCTAGAATATGGTCTCCCGACCGCTTACCCCTAACGAAATCTGAACAAGATCTGATAGTGCAGCTCAAAATGTGTCGGAGTTTCGGGATCTTCCCTAGAGTCTTCGACTTCAGACTTTGAACCTGTTCTCCATGAGATACCACCGCCGCCCCGATCTCCTCTACACCAGACGCATCTTAAGGGGAGAGCTTGAAAGTGAGCTGCAGCAGCCCTTCCATCTGTGTGGGCGGCTCGACACGTGGTCACAAAGGGAAAGTATTTAAGCGGAGGACAATTCGCGCGTAAGCAAGCTGCCTTATCTTCGAGTGGTAAATGATTGGAAGTCTGCCGAAACACATCATTGACTCGCAGACAGAGGAAAGTGTCAAGCTATTGCTAGAACTCTATCTAACGCAAATGGCAGGATCCTGCTGCTCTTACTTTATAGGTGATCTCCGAAGGAGTAACGCTTCCCGACAGCAAGCACCCACCTTGTGATGATTCGAAACCGATGGAGCTGACAAGGGGTCTCCCTTCAATAATCACTGCCGAGCAGTTATCCAACTTGCGCAACCGCGAAAGACAGAAGCGCTTCTGTCGCCAACTTGTTTGTCGAGAACTTCAGCTCAGCGACGTGTTCCTAAAAAAGGGGCCTTCAGGATTCAGGGTTTCTAAACTATACGGAAGGGGAAAGGCGTAGCAACAATGATAACCGCTGGCATAGACCATCAAACTCGATCATCACAACAGGAATAGCCGAGCTAAGTGGAACCACAGTGATTATTCTTCATGTGGCGTGCTTCGAACAAAACTACAGGGGACGATCGAGTTTTTGTCTGAAAATTAAGGGAAAAATGCACAGGTACCGTCGATTTGCAGATGCTATCGGCTGTTCAGTAGTCTTAGCGGCTCATCGGATTAAATAACAAGTAAATCGTTCCGGTTTTTGCGTTGAGAAACCCGTTATTCAGTCGCAGAAAGCTTTCACTAGGAACTAGGCCGTTCCGACCACTACTCAAATACTCTAATTGCGTTTTTCTATAGAAAATATTAAGCAATAGCGACAAACCTATGGCTCACACGATAAACCCATGTTCCTTGCTACGTGGTAAAAAGCTTTTGATACGCTTCGTGTAATCTGTGGGAACTAAAAGGGATAATAACCTGCGCGGAATCAAAGGATACCATATGTCACAATAGTGCGTACGTCATTCGTCAAGTTCGGTTTTAAGGTAGGAGGGCCTGGAAATCAGCCCGCAGCGAAAGGTGTGCGCACGGACCATAAGTGGCCACAGAGAAACTACAAGGACACATTACAAATACAGCGCTCTAAACGCGAAATCACTACGCCATGTTGTCCCTGGCATTAAAAGGTAAACTAAAACAACAATAGGTTTGCATTTTAAAATTATCTTTATATAGGCGTCAAGTTTGACTTTATTCCTTTTATGTTGGTAGTGGCCTTTTATTCGTTTTTTCTACAAGTTTAAGTACTACGCAGTAACACGAATTTTTGGTATGTCATTGGAACATTGGAACATTGGAATGTAGAGAGCAGAAGGAAAAATCCTTTGTCAGCTCCATCGCCTCCCGTTCGTCACAGGGATCAAGGTGGACATTGCAAGTCGGTTCCAATGGAACCGCTGCATTGACACAAGAAGCAACAAGATCCGAGTTTACTCAACAGGTAAGAATCCAATTGATGTTTGAAACATTCCTCCGACTGCGCATCAACGACACACACAGGTAGATTATTCCATTCGTTCACTACTCTGGTAGACAGAGTGACATCACAACGGACCCGAAGTCTCCTTTGTTTAAACAATTTCCAATGGTGACCCCGAGTCGAACTGAAAGAATTGAGTGGAAAGAAATTCTGCAATTCAACTCCAAGTTCCCCTCTAACGATACGCCGGGTGAAAATCAAATCCCCGCGATCTCGACGGTAGGCTAGGGAGAACAAGTTCAGGCACTGGAGACGATGCGAGTAAGGCAGGTTTCGTAATTCCAGAACGGATTTAGATCCTCTCCGCTGAACTTTTTCAATCAAGTTGCACTCAAATTTGGAAAGAGGATAAACAGCGGGCAGTCCATACTCAAGAACCGGACGTACATGAGAAGTGAACAGGAGCCTGAAGATCTCCGGAGTCAAGCGAGAGAAGGATCGTCGTATGGCGAAAAACAACCTGTTGGCAGAAGCGACTTTCCTCAAGGTATCTTCGGTCGATTTTAGGTCTGGGGTCACAATGACGCCGAGGTCCCTCTCACGATTAGAGTTCGGCAGCAAAAACCCACCGATATGATAAATTCCAAATGGTTCGGAGGCACCGATCGGAAGAACGGAACATTTATCGTGATTTATGGGTAATTGACACCTGATCGACCACTCATGCAGCGAATCGAGCCTTGTTTGTAGTAAATCAGCTTCATCCAGACAGGAGACTTCCATCCATATCTTTAAATCATCCGCGTAAATCAAACAATCTGCCCGTAGTATAGATGCCAGATCATTAATAAAGACTTTAAAAAGTTCAGGGCCAAGAACAGAGCCTTGCGGAACACCGCTGGTCATATTTACAGGGAAGGAAAAGGCCTCATTTACTTGTACACGGAAAGCGCGGTCATTCAGGAAATCAGTGAGCCAAGAGAGGATTTTTCCTGAAACACCAATACTGCGAAGTTTGCTAAGCAAAATTTCGTGTGGAACCTTGTCAAAGGCTTTACATATTGATCGAGCGTTTTAACGGAAATATTGTGGTAAGCAATATTCGAGTAACCAGCTAATAGGGAAATATGAGTTTTGTCATAGTTTCTCTTATCCAACAAATAGATTTGTTAAAATTTTATTGGACAAAGCTTCTGGGGCTCAAGGTTAATTGATCCTGTTTTCCTTAGTTTTAATCCCTTTTGGCATCCTGCTTTTTTCCACCTTTATTGCGGTGGATTTACTAGTGTATGTGTTATAATTCTGCTCCATTTTCTGCATGAGCATGGCTGTGTCGCCAAACACCGATGCAGTCGTATCCATGGGGTCTTGGTTTGATGAACCTAATGCAGGGCGCGGATAATCCGGCTGCTCCGAGCGAGTTACAGATGTACCTGGCGTTATGCATTGTGACGTCTGTTATCGCTGATGTCGCGAAAGGTGTGCTTGATTACAAGCAGACAAAAACAAAATGCTATTATCCAGCGTGAACTTACTTTATAGCTGTGACGTATGCTGCGCTATGAGCTCTACACGCCCGGATATCACCGCTGATATCCTTTCAGCGTTAGCGTCAAGGTTGGCAGGATTTGAGAAGGCGATAGACGAGCACACCTCTATTACCTCATACAGTAAAGTAGACATAGCGTCTACTTGACGGTCCATTGAAATTTTTGAGCGTGCTGACTTTTGAGGATTTACTTTCAGAGGACAGTTTCAGAACATCGTTTACAAGTGTAGTGCAAAAACATTTGCCTTTTGGCGAATTTCATTTAATCTAAATATTTTCGGATCATCGTTTTCCTCGGAGTACCTCGTACCCGTTCTCTTGTATTTATCAAACATCATTCATGTTTTTCGGCTGCAGCCCCTGGCTATTTTCCGGTATTTTTCTGTTTTTTAATCCGTCTTGCGCTTCGTGTTAACACGTAGCTGTTTCTGCGGACTGCCTTGCGGGTAACAGCTTGTCGGTTTTACGTTTTACTACTTGTTTCACACTCCTCGAATTCGTCATGCTGGCTTCGTCTTATACCGGCGCTAATGTTTTTTCGGCTGCCTTGAGCTGCAAAACTAATACTGTATGCGGCAGCCAAAGCTGCTCAAAGCCCTGACGGACAAGTCTGTTGGCACGCAGTGCTATGTATGCAACTGCTGGTACCATGAAACCTATATTGAGTTGAGCCCATATCAGTACGCAATGCTTTCAATTAGCGATAGCATGTTGTTTTATTGTCTTCTATGCCGTAGCCTTCGAACTACGCGTCTTGAGGTCATTGAGGAGAGATCAAGCTTCGTCGCGCACGGTAACTGGCAGATGTGGTGGCTCATCATGTCTCTTGACCTTAAAGTGGAGTTACTGATGAGGAAAATGGGAGTCACTATTGTGGTCGGCTCGTTGGAGGAAGCCACGCAACTAACCTCAATTGCTGTCCATGAAAAGCAGACTGAGGTGATGGCTACCGTGTTGTGTGAACCAGCGTAACCAATGCCCCATATAGAGGTCTCTTAGGTCGTACTGTACGTCTTCCAAGGCAACAGCGATCTTCTATCCTTCGTGCCCAAGTGCGCAAGCGGAAGAGGGCTAAGCATGCCCGTAATGCTCCCTCAAAGCCTAAAGGTATAAAACCCATAAAGGTGTTGGAGGTGGAGCCCAAAGGTCCAACTCTAATCACCCCAGTTCCATTGGCGGCAAGACTCTCCTTGTCAACTTCGACCACACCCGCAAACTCCGAAAAGACTAGACCGGTGAGGGAGTTGGAGGTAGAACCCAAAGCCTCAACCTCAATTACTCCAGCTCACATGGCTAAGAATCGCGAAGCCTCACCTGCCAAAGCGCTCGTAATTGAGGTCGAGTCTTATCCTCGTGGTGTGATTGCGCCTCTTCGTGGCGATTAGCTTACTGATACTGGCGTTATCTTTCGTAATATAGCTGGATCCGCCTCAACTCTTCCCAAGGAATGCATGCTGGATGACGTCCAGTGGTTCAAGCTCCGTGTCAACAAGATGCTTCCACCTTGGTTCCCCGTTGTCAATACCAGGAAGCTAACCGGATTGGGAAACGTCCCTGTCGATACGCCAAACCGGCAACGCCGACTACTTCGTGTAGTCCTCTCAACCCCGGAGGAACGCCGAGCGCTAATGCGCTGTACATTCAAACTCAAAGGTAGTAATGTCAGCGTTTAGTCAAACCTTGGACTGGCAGGTCGATTGAAGTTAATGGAAGCCATCAAAAGCCGCAAGAGCAGGCTAGAAGCTTGTGAGCAAGGCCCTCATCTTGTGCATTTTCTGGTGGTCAACCGGAAGTCAAATCCTGACCTTCCAAAACCCTCCTGGTGGCGTACGACCAAGGGCTGGTTGTGCCGAGTCCATTCAGGTAGTGCTCAGTAAAGTGCATAGCCTAAGGAACCAGGTGCACGAGGTGGGCCTACTTGTAGACAAATCGCGACCCGACATACTTGCTTTCACTGAGACATGGTTGCCCCGGATGTCACAAACGGTGAATTATGCTTACTAGCTACGTGATCGCCCCGTTGGCCGCCAGGGTGGGGGAGCCGCTCTTTATGTGAGTTGTACACTTGAGGCATCGAAGGTCCGGGTTTCCAGGCGTCGTGTCAAACTGTTGAAGCCCTGTCTACTAGTTTGTGCACTTCCTCTGCTCAGTTTGCAGTTGTACTGGTATATCGAAGTCCCGGATGTATCTCTAGGGAGGGTATTCAATTTATTCGTACTCAGGATGCCAATATTTGTCTAATAGTGGGTGACTTCAACCTCCCTGAAGTCTGAGGAGCGGACCTACCTTGCGTTTCGGCGATGGGCACATTCGGTTCGGATCGCCTCGCGCCAGCGTTGCAAATTACTGCGCAGCAGTGCGTGGACCTTCCGACGAGATATATGGGCAACCAACTTCCGGCTACCTTGGACCACAATTTTGCGATGTCACAAGATTTCCTAAGTGGTATTACATACGGCTGTCCTTTAGGAGCCAGTGGTTATGTCTGCACATGCTTTCGATTTGTTCTACTTAAATGTCATCAAGCTACCACTGCGGCAAATCGAAGTATTTGACAAACAGACTTTAAAGCAATGCGAGACAAAGCTTCAGTTCTGCATTTCACGACCACCGTGGCTGACACCGTTGAGACAGCCTGGGAGAAATTAAAGGCATACCTCACCGAGATCTATGCTCCCCACACCCCACTCATTAAGAGACGAGTGACACGGGCGCAACCTCCTTGGATAGACCATACGGGTAAATACCCGCTCAGGAATCGCTTTAAGTGTTGGCGAACTTACCAAGCGGCTTCACGCACCAGCACCTACGAAAGCTATCGAGTGGTTAGAAATAAATGTGAGCAACCTCTTAGGAACCCTCGCCTTCAGTGCGAGGAGGATTTGGCTGACGCGGAAGTAACAGGTTCAAAGAAGTTCTTTGCTTACGTAAAGCGAGGCATCGGTACAAAGTCGTCTATACCGGTTTTACAACGAGCGGACGGGACCGGTGCGCATAACGAGTAAGATAAGGTTTGTATACGTAGCGAGCAGTATGCTGGTGTCTTTACTCGGGAGGCCTCTACCTCAGGTTGAGATGCTCACAAAAGTCCCGGAGAATTTTTGCCTA